ACTAGTATAGATAGGACACTGTGGAGAATTAAATAAAATGATTTTAAAAGTCAAATAGAAGAATGAAGAATATAGTAAACATGAAGCCTGGCCGGAGTGGCTCAGTTGATTGACCCTAGACCTATGCACCCAAAGGTTGTAGGTTTGATCCCCAGTCAAGGATGAATTATAGGAGACAATCAATCAATGTTTCTTTCTTCCTCTTCCTCTCCCTCCCTCTCTCTTTCTCTCTCTCCCCGCCCCATCTTCTCTCTAAGCATTTCCTAGAGTGTGGACTAAAAAAGAATAAACATGAAAAGGATGAGAAAAAAGGGGGTGAATTTCACCAGTATATATCAGAAGACTAAAGTCACATAAAAATAATGCTGGCATAAGAATAAATATAGTCCAGAAACAGATCCCAGTAGTCAAACTATTTTAATGTAAAACAGAGGTGGCATTTTTATCCAACAGAAAAAGGATAGTTTATATCAGGAGTCAATATATTATGGCCTTAAAGCCAAACTGTGCCCTTTGCCTGTTTTTGTTAATCAAGTTTTATTGGAACATAGCCATGCCTATCATCTGCAAATTGTCTATGGCTGCTTTCATGCTATAGTTGCGACATAGAACATCTGGCCTGCAAAGCTAAAAATATTTACTATCTGGCTCTTTAAAGAAAAAGTTTGCCAACCTTTAATTTATATTATAAATGACTCTATTACAGCTAGCTATAACCTAGAAGAAAATAGAACTATACCCTAATATCTCACACAGTATTTAAAAATAAGTCCCAGATCAATAAAACACACACACACACACACACACACACACACACCTATATCTATATGAAATCAATCTTATAAGAAAAGTTAGGTAACAAAACGAAAAGTTAGTATAACCTATAACTGTATGGGGAAAGGCCTTTTTAACAAATAATGAAATCATACACAACAAAGAAAAAGATATAACTGGCTATATAAAGAGTTAAAAACTTTTTAATATAAAGGTACTCTAAAAATCAGGACAAGCCGAAACCAGTTTGGCTCAGTGGTAGAGCGACGGTCTGCGGACTGAAAGGTCCCGGGTTCGATTCCAGGTTGCGGGCACATCTCCGGTGGGGGGTGTGCAGGAGGCAGCTGGTTGATGTTTCTCTCTCATCGACATTTCTAGTTCTCTAGCTCTCTCCCTTCCTCTCTGTAAAAAATCAATAAAATATATATATATTTTTTTTAAATCAAGACAAATCTTATAGTTGTGATTACTTTTAAAAAGTGATTTGCAGAAAAATGGTTAATATTCAAAGTAGGGCAAAAGTAGGTTTATAGTTATGAGAACACAAAACATAGTTTATTCCTCTATTATTATTATTATTTATTGTATTGTATTATTTATTTGTGTTACAATTGTATCCCTTTTGCCCTACCCTGGATATAAACAATATGATTAACCCAAAAGAAAATACAAAACAGGAAAACAAATCCACATGGCCAAAAAAGGTGAATAGATGTGTAAACTTACTAGGTGTGAGAGAAATACTAACTAAAGTAACAATGAGATTGTCTCTGAAAGTCAAAGTTATTACACCTACTGCTGGTGAAGATATACCAGTAGAGGCATATTGTCCTAGCTTGTTGGTAGAAATCTGAATTCATACATTTTTGGAAAGTAACCTGGGAACATTTAAAAATATTTATATAGCCTTGTTTGGGGGCTCAGTGGTGGTCGATTTATGAAAATCGACATATGAACCAGGAGGTCACAGTTTGATTCCTGGTCAGGACATATGCCTGAGTTACAGGTTCCATCCCCAGTGTGAGGCATGGAGGAGGCAGCTCATCAGTAATTCTCTCTCATCAATGATGTTCCTATTTCTCTCTCTCCCTTTCACTTCCTCTCAGAAATCAATAAAAACATATTTTTTAAAGATGCTTATTCTTGTTCATTCTTCATTAAAATTGAGGTGTTCAAACTAAAAATATTGGTACATTGTTTCTGAGAGAACTATCTGAATTTATTTTTAACCTCTAGAATAACATCTACATATATAAAAGGCTAAGTGACCATCTGACCATCTGACTGGTAGCTATGATCACCAGGGGGCAGATGCTCAATGCAGGAGCTGCCAAGCTGTTATGACTTGGTAGCGGCAGTTCTCGGATGACGCACACCGGAAGAGAAGAGGGAGCCCGATTCTGGGGTGCGTCACTTGAGAACCATCCTCTCACAACCCAGGACCCCTCAAGGCATCTCACCTGCTGGAGGGACCCACTCACTCTGCAGACGCTCTTTGAACCGTAGTGCTGCCCCAGGTGCAACTGACCAGAAAGGGACAGCAGGAAGTTAACTCCAGGGCATGTCCGGCCCGTAGTGCCCAGTCCTGCCCTGCCCGCCACCTTCTAATTAATTTCCTTTCAATGAGCAAGGGGTAAAGAAAAGGGAAAGGCAACTGGAAACTGGAAAGGGGTAAAGACAACCACAAATTGTCAGTAGAGAACCTCAGTTCCTGTCTCCTTTTTGAGGAAAAATCACTATCATGACACAGGCAAGATCAGGCAGCAACAGAGGTCCCACCTGGCAGCCACGTTCTACCAAGCAAATTCTGAGAATACTCTAACTCCACACTTTCTAATTATAGAACTTTATGAAAATCATTATCTCTTTTATACATATTCTGTCTTTCTCTTCCCCTCCCTCTCTCTCATATTCTTCTCTCTAAATCCTGTGTGATTACACCACAGTAAGAGGTATGACACAGCTAATTTCCCCAGAAATGAATGATAAACGTGAAAAGGAAGATCTCTGTTGTGTATATCTGCACTATTCTAACAATAATAATCCCTATGTTAAGTAGTAGTATAACACACTTTTCTTATAGGATTTTAATGTATTTACAATATAGAAACCACAGTATCCTAGTAGTTAAATATACATGTCAAAACCTAACCATCCAAACAAGTGCTGGGAGGTATACATTGCAAATTAGTTTTGGAATTCTTTTGAGGATGTCTTCAGAATCTGTGATATGTTTTATTCAACTATTGCACAAATAAGATACTTTGCTAAACTCTAGGAATGAATTATGGCACATTACTATGAAGATCATGGAAAACAGAATAATCCCCAATTAACTACTTAAAAAATTAATAAATACTACTCACAAAAGCCTACTAGTACATGCCAGGTACCTTTTAGACCATGGACACACAGCATGAACAAAACAATTACTATGCATTCATAAAAAGATGAATCATTTGAAAAGTATAAATTTCATTTTTAGAAATGATTAAAAGTCATATGGCACCATAAGGACTTGAGTCAGAAGGTGCAATAAAGAAAAGGACTGTTTGTTGTAAAAATGATCAATCTGCTCTGAAGCTAAGAGTTTAAATGTTTTAAAAAATAAGAACATCACTGGTATAATTATTTAAACCAATCATATAAGCTTCTTTGAAAAATAATTATGCCCCTTTCATTGAATAGATGAGGAAACAGAGGTGTCAGGTCTGGCTTCCCACAGTGCCTCAGAGGCCTCCCCTTCTAGTTAAGTGCTCTTTCTAGAAAACAACTTTTTTTCCAAGGACAATTGCTTTATCATTTTTGTCTTAAATATTTTAAAATTTTTTAGCTCAGTGAGGCTGACATGTAGGCACAAATTGTCAGACGAGAAAAGTGAAGCAAAAATACGTCAAAATACCCGTCATTAACTCAAGTATTATTTGACAAAGGAGGCAAGGGGGTACAATGAAGTTAAAGATAGTCTCTTCAATAAGTGGTTCTGGGAAAAGTGATAGATACATGCAAAAAAAAAAAAAAAAAAAGAAACTAGACCAGCAACTTACACCATACACAAGAATAAAAAAACATGTATAAGAGACTTAAAAGTCCTAAACCACAAGAATTCTAGAAGAAACCATAGGCAGCAAAATATCAGACATCTCTCATAGCAATATGCATGCTAATACATCTGCTAAGGCAAGGGAAACAAATGAGAAAATAAACAAATGAACTGCATCAAAATAAAAAGCTTCTTCACAGCAAAAAGAAACTGTCAACAAAATGAAAAGGGAGCCCCTTGTATGGGAGAACCTCTTTGCAATGATACATCTGATATGGGGTTAATATCCAAAATATACAAGTAACTCATATAACTTAACAAAAGGAAAACAAATGGGCAAAGAACACAAATAGACACTTCTCTAAAGGGGTCAAGAGACATATGGAAAAATGCTCAAAGTCACTAATCATCAGAGAGATGTAAATTAAAACAACAGTGAGGTATAATCTCACACCTGTCAGAATAGCTATCATCAACAAATCAACTAATGAAAAAGTGTTGGCAAGGATGTGGAGAGAAGGGCATCCTAGTACACTGGTGCAGCCACTGTGAAAAACAATATGGAGTTTCCACAAAAATTTAAAAATGAAACTCCCAGTTGACCCAGTGATCCCAGTTCTAGGAATATATCCTAAGAAGCCAGAAACACTAATCAAAAGAATATATGCACCCCTATAGAAGTGCAATTTACAATAGCTAAAATCTAGAAATAGTCCAAATGCCCATCAGATGAGTGGATAAAAAAGCTATTACACATTTATACTATGGAATACTATGCAGCTATAAAAGAGATGGATCTTTTGCCATTTGAAACAACATGGAGGGACCTGGGGGGTAATATGCTAAGTGAAATGCCAGAGAAAGGCAAGTGTCACATGATTCCACTCATAAGTGGAATCTAATGAACAAAATAAACTGATGAACAAAATAGATCCAGAGACATATAAGCAAGGAACAGAGTGACGAATCTCAGAGGGAAAAGGAGGGGAAGAGGGTTGAGTAGAGAGAGATTAGCTGAGAACTTATATGCATATATGCATAATTCATAGACACAGACAATAGTGTGGTAAAGGCCTGGGAGAGGAGAGTGCAGGGTGGAGGAGATCAATGCACTAGAGAACTTCAAGAAGTAAGATGTTTGAGGCTTTCATAAGTTATTATTGTTAATAATGTAACTTCCTACCTGATATATTCTAAAAGGGATGTAACGAAATCCACTTTCTTCTGCAGGATATTCCATGAGTTTCCGATTGATGGCCCAAAACTGGTCAAATCTGTCTGTAACAATAAATTATTCAAATATTTAATAAAAAGTGAATAACATTATAATTTAATACCTCACATGAAGAGATGAAAGTTGTCAAACCTCTACCTTTTAGAAATTTCTGAAAGGGTATTATTTATATATATGACTTTTTTCCCTTAAGTTTATATTTCTATAACTAAACACAAAGATATAAAATTAATTTTCTATATTATTGCTTCTTCTTCCTAGATCGACATTTTTCTCATAAGAAAAACCCTAAACAGATTATGACTGGGATACTCCATCAGACTGGGTATCTTGATTTCCTTTGTTCTACTCCTACTATCTAAACTTTAAAGGCAAATGCTTCAAATGACCTGAATTTTAGCCAGAACTTGCTTTAAGAAGTGAAATCACAATACCAAACACAGTTAACATTAAACAGCAAAAAATGTAAAATTATAGAAATGCTTTGAAACAAACGTGAACTGATTAAACACCTTAATTTTTTTTTTCAGGTTTAGTTTAAAAACACACACACATACTTTACTAAGATTTAATTCACATACCATAAAATTCATCCTTTTAAAGTGACTACTGAGTGTTTTTTAATATATTCAGAGTTAAGCAACCGTTGGCAATATCTAATTTCTGAAAATTTTCATCATCCCAAAAAGAAATACATACCCATTAATAATTAATCCCTTTCCCTGTCCTCCTTGCTCCGGAAATCACTATTCTCTATTCTATTCCAGGAATTTTATATAAATGAAATCATACTAAGATGTAGTCTTTTGCATCTGTTCTTCCCCCCCTCCCAACCCCGCAAGCCTGTGTTTAGGGTCCATTTATGCTATCCCATATATCAGAACTTCATTTGTTTTTATGGCCAAATAATATTTCATTGTATGGAGATATTACACTTTGTTTACCCATTCATCAGTTCATGGGATATTTGAGTTGTTATCACTTTTTGGCTACTATAAACATTCATGTCCAAGTTCTTGTGTGTATGCGAATTTTTTCAATTTTCTTGTGTGTATACCTGCCATATGGTACCTATGTCTTGAGGAATTGCCAAACTGTTTTCCAAAGAGGCAGCACCAATTTACATTCCCGTCAGAAAAGTATATGGGTTCCAATTTGTCTACATCCATGCCAATACTTGTTGTTGCCCATCTTTTCTATTATAGTCATTCTAGTGGGTACAAAGTGGTATTTCCTTATAGTTTTGATTCCCATTTCCCTAAGAACTAATTACGCTGAACATCTTTTCATTTGTTTATTAGCCATTTATGTATCTTCTTCGGAGCAGTGTCCACCAAATCCTTTGTCCCCTTTTTATATCTGAATGTTCCTTATGTATTCTGGATACAAGTCCCTTATCTGGTAAAGGATAAGTAAATTACATCTCTTACCAGCCCCTCCACCCCCATTCAGTGCATTGTTAATTAACTCACTGAGAATTTTAGCTTAAATGACTTTTCTCTCAGAATCAAATCTCTGTAAAGCAAATAGCTCCAGAATTTCAGATCAGTTTGGTATTAAAGCATATTCGCCACTACTAGATTCGTCTCAATCCAATTTACTGGCAATCTATTCATCCTGCTTATCCCATCAAAATTGTTTTAAAAAATAAAGCTTAGTTGTTTCTTCTGATATCCCTGGTCCTAGAAGACTGTGTCAGGCTCTAGGTCTTCTCTAGAGTGATACCACACTAAGACTGACAGTACATGGAATCCAGTTAGAATCCAGTTAGTTCTTTGCAATTTTACAAATAACAACTGTTTGTTCAGATTGTTATGAAGTTAATTCAGAACCAAGACCAGACGCTTGGTTTTCTGATTCAAAGTCCACAAACATTTCAATAGCTGCAACCACAAAACTGCATCATAATGTTAAGAGGAGTTCATTTGACCACAGTCCTTTCATTTAGGAATAAATTATTCTTTTATTGCTTTTTTAAAAATTACTTTTTTGTCTGGCCAGTGTGGTTCAGTGGTTGAGCATCAACCTATAAACAAGAAGGTCAGGTCACAGTTCGATTCCCAGTCAGGACACGTGCCCAGGTTGCTGGCTTGAACCCCAATAGGGAGCGTGCAGGAGACAACAATTATTCTCTCTCATCATTTGATGTTTCTGTTTCCCTCCTCTCTGAAATCAATTAAAAATATATTTTTTAAAAGTACTTTTTCCCCCCATTAAATAGTAAGCAAAAATGTAATAGCGGAATAAAATGATTTTTTTGCATACTTGAGATTTTACTTACTGCTCATCATTAATGATCTCTAGCACCTACCTACAATAATGCATGCATAATATATGCTCTTGAGCCAAAGAACAAATAATGGAATACTATGTACAGAACTTCTCACTGAAAATTTTGGGTTCTAATCCTAGGTTTACATCTAAACAGCTACATGATCACAAAGAAATCAACTGAAAAGTCTACCATAATTTACTTATAGTTGAAATCAAGGAATTAGATTATTTTATAATTATTTAAAGATACTCTCTTTTATTAAAATAGAACCTGTTAAAAACCACAAGAAAAACATTATAGTAAAATGAAAGATTTATACTATTTTTAACAGGAAAAAAAAATCCACCAAACATGTTAAAGCAGTCATTCTTAACCAGAGAAGATTTTGCTCCTTGGTAGGTCTGGAGACATTTTTGGTTGTCACAACTATAGTCCATGGATGCTGCTATACACCATCCAGTGTACAGGATAGCACTCTACAAACAAGAATTATCTGACTCAAAATGTCAATAGGGCTAAAAGAAGGAAAGCAAACACAAACATACAATAAAAGGTACAGAGAGGTTATTAGCAAAAAAGTTATTATGAACTTATATAGCAAAAAAAAAAAAATCTGGAAAAGCAATATTATTGTGTCCATTATCAATTTAATGACAACTCTAAATTCACTCTTCAACATATGCAGTGCCATAATAGACAACATTTCTTTAAATGTCTCTATTGTGATGTGATTAAGCTTTCCCAGTATCTGGTGCTGAAAGGACACTGAGAGAGAAAGGGGCTCCCGACTATAGGCACATGAAGGCCCCTTGTCCTTATCGGCACCCTGATTTCCTGTGGAGGCCCATCTGGGTGGCTCCTCTAAGGTTTCCCACAGAGCTCCCGCTCCCTCTGCATAAACATGGCACTTGTTACTGGTGGTCTGCACTCCACATTGTACTGATTGTCCCTCAAATGCAGACCAGCTCTCATCTGGGAAAAATAACCAAATTTTCCACTAATCCAGGCGGTGATTTCTACTCTTTCCAACAAGTTCAAACCCCGCCTTGGAAAGGGGCTCTTTCCTCCATGACCCTAGGATATCATATATATAGTCACATATCTTTTGAAAAAACTCAAGAATAAAAGTGTCAATTTTAAAACTGATGAACAAAAACATATCCAGAGACAGAGAAGCATTGATCAGACCATCAAACATCAGAGGGAAGGTAGGGGAAGGTGGGGGGAAACCAAAGCAGCAGCTGCCAACTGATGTTCCGTGGACCACTGGTGGTCCATGAGGTCTGAAAAGTGGGTGACCGCTGAACCAAAGGACATATATGATTATATGCATATAATCATAACCAATGGACAGAGACACTAGAGGGGTGAGAGAGCACAAGCGGGAGAGTGGGGGCAATGGGGGGAAGAGGGACACATATGTAATACCTTAATCAATAAAGAAAAATAATAAAAGAAATAAGTCCAGTGTACTTAAAAAAAAAAGTGGCCATTTTGAAGGATGCATCTATATTTTCATTTGAGTTTTAGGAGAGTTAAGAACTGAAGGTGAGTTTTTAACATTCTCACATCACAGATAATGCATGTATTATATGTATGTATCTACAAGCCCCACAGGAGACATGGAGAACATCTATGGGCCTGCTACTCAGCCTCAAACAGTAATGTAGTTGTCAATGGCTGAAACCTCAAACTATAAAAAAAAAAAAAAAAAAAAAAAAAAAAGGTAAAATGACCTCCACATGCACACACTATTCCCTTCCTGCTTTTTAATGCCTATAATGTCAAAGAACAGATTTATGCACCACCCCCTTAAAAAGTATCAGATGACAGCCCATAAAACACAAATGTTAAGCTTTTCTTTGAAAAGCAAATGGCTGAACATCACAATGAAGGGATCCTGCTCTTCACAAAATTTGCATTTTCCAACATTACTATTCAAATCACTACAAGTGGCAGTGGATGGTATTTAGTATTTTTTACCTTTAGCTTTCAAAATATGTAACAGATATCACATCCAATTATAGACTTATTTGAATTAATTTATTCATATGCAATGTTAAATATTTTTGAAAAGCAAAATAGGAAGGGGAAAACAAATAGCAATTACTGGACCAGGCCACAGTGGCCCAGTGTTTAACCGTCAACGTAAGTACCAGGAGGTACATGGTTCAATTCCCCAGAGGCACATTCCCAGGTTGTGGGATTGATCCCAAGTAGAAAGCTGCTAATCAATGGTTCTCTTTCATCACTGATGTTTCTATCCCTCCCTCTCCCTTCCTCTCTGAAATCAATAAAAATTTATTAACAGAAAAAAGAAATAGCAATTACTCATAGAGTAACTAACACAGATGTATTTAAAAAAAAAAAAAGTGACCTGTATCTTCCAACTCATTTGTCTTCTGAATCTAATCAAATTCTGAGAATCTTATGTTATTAGGACAGTTAGGCTGAACCATGGCAAGCAGCAGCACACCTATTGGTACTTAGATGCTGCTCAACAGAAGTACAACATATCGATACATTTCTATGAGCCCATCTGCTTGATTTAGAAAGTTTAGAAACTTGACCCAACAAAAAAGAAGTAAGAAATGGTAGGCCTTGAAAGTGACTTCATTTAGCTAAGTTAGAAAGCAGGTCTAATTAAGCAAGTATATTCTATATCTATAAAAGGCTAAGTTGACTCACGCATGCGCAAAACATATAAAGCTCTCGCTGGCGCCAATCACACGTATGATTTTCCATTGTCATTATCAATTGTGAGTTTGG